ACAAATGATACGGACAGCGTTCAGGTGTCATACCATATTTGGTAATCAAGTTCGCATACTTTTCACACCCTAATAACTCAATATTAATACCTTTCGTACCCAATTTCTTTAATAAATCTCTTTCAATAGTACCACCTTTATAACCCACCAAATCTGCAGAGGTCATAAACTCTTCACACAACACTTTATACACGTCATGATATTGTAAAAAATCCTCGTTGTTTTTTTCATATACCACGGGTAGACCATGAATGTGATGAATTTGATAATGTACTACCTTTGGATTTATATAAATATTAGGCATATAAATTTGAAACGAAAATGTTTTTTCGTCTCGTATTCGATACACCGACACCTCTCTTAAATAAACTTGATTTTTCCCCAATGTATACGCTTCACAATCCATAACGTGTGTAATTCGACTAACAATATCTTTTTGATATTTTCGTACATAATTTTTTTCCCAATTTTGAATTTGATTATGTTGTTTTTCAAACCAACGCTCTACAATTTCCATCATGCCACTAAGAACACACGCACACACTGAAAGTTTAAAAATTTTTATTTTTTATTTTATAAATCTATTTCTTATACATTCACAAACACAATACGGTTTGGCTGCATTACATTTACAATTCATTATAAAATAATTTCGATTCGTATGATATTTTTGTGCATAAATTATATAATTTTGAATTAAATGTTCGCTAACAAATACATCATGATCTAAACAAATAGTTTTACAAATCTCTTTTGCGTCCTGAAGTTTTTTATTTAATGATTCCCTCATTAATGCATAATAAATATCATGCAGCATAGTCACCATTCGAGAATGTTGTTCAAAATATCCATGTCTACAACCAGTTGTATAACGAGGCATAGTACAACCCATAGATTCCCGACAAACGCGTCCCATGTGATTAGAGGGTATCCATTTTATCAAAAATCTTGATGCAATATGCTTTCTAGCACAACGTACACTCGTTAAAATCACATCCAACGACAATACCGCACGTTCTAAATCCAAATGTTTTTCAACGGCGTACATATATGATTCGAAGGTAAAAATATGTTCAGCATATAACAAAGTCACCATTCTTTCACGATCTCCCTTAGCATAAAGATTTCGACGAAGAACATCGTAAACTTCTAACTCCTCATCGCAAGGTGTAGCACGACAAAACATTTTTTAATCACAAATATATTCCAAATTTTTAAACTGTACAACACACGAAGCACACATTGTCTCACAACGACATCTTGGGGGTATATATTGCAAATTACGACGTTCTGTATTCCACGTGATACATTTACACGATGACGTCATAAAATCTTTAACCGTATACTGTAGTTTTAAAAGATATTTCAAAATACGCGCCAAACGATAAGAGGGATACATATGTAATACATTATTACACACTTCACGTAAAACATCATCACTACACTGTGTACATTGATCAACAGCAGCCATAAAAAGTTTTGTTTTCTGATATAAAAATAAATGTATACTTCCTACGTATTCCTCGTCATGACATATCATATCAATATTGGTAGTAACCGACCAATAAGGAGGGCTCCATGCACGATCCGTTGCTATATACATTGATTTACGCGGGTGCATATAAAAATCAACCTCGATCAATCCACAAAATCCCAACGAGAAACATACGCAACCCATTACCACGCGTCTTGTCGAATCGCTCACAATCACCCCATTATTTACCATATACATATTTTCAAAATAAAAATAACACTGTGGAAATGGTATTATACACCCGCCATTTACAATATTACTCTGTATCTCATCAATTCCCACAGGTAATTTTAAATAATAACGCCACATTTCTTTAATTAACATTAAAAATTTATTATCACAAAACAATAACTCTTGAATTTCATTTTTGTCCTCATTCTCCCCAATATACGCATTTTGTCGTACACTATCCATGCTTACAAGTAGGGTGTGAATACCACGGCGAGAAACAAGGAAAATATCTTATAATACACGCCCCCTTGCAATTTGATAACATTCGCATACGTGCATCCTTAAGCATTTTACAATAATAAAGTAAAATTTCAGTTAAACGATACGAGCCATGCATTCGTACACAGTCAGAACACTTTACACATACAGTCTCTAATGGCAAATCCATAGAACTAAAGTGAAAAATAGTTTCAAGAAATGTTTCTACACGTCCGTAAACATATGTCCTTATTGATTTACATGTAAAAAGCGTATTCATAAAATAAAGCACATTAAAATTATGTTTAATTTCAATATAAGGTGTACGATATTTCACGGGATTCGTATATGCTTTTTCAGGTGTCATATGAAAAATTACATCAACAACTACATAGATCTCCGGACTCCAGCATATCATCATCATTGTAATTACTTGCGTGTTCTGTTTTACAACAGAATTTAAAAAATAAAAATAAGTTTGTGGAAACGGTACAATCATTCCATTATTTACCAACCACATAGCTTTGTTCGTTGATAGTTTTATAATATTTTTTCTTGAAAACATTAGAATAAAATTTAAATATTGTTCATCCATTGTCAACAAATGATTTGCTTCACATACATCAAACTTGGCATAATCAACATTCCCGTCGCACATTTTACTTTGTAGTGGAATATCTATGGGTAACAAAGGATCACGAACATTTTGCATCCAATCCATTTCAATAGTCTAAAAAAAGGATAACTATACATCAACCCAAGTGTTCGTCGCTTTAGCCTTTGCTATATCTTCAATGATGTCTTGTAACAACATATAACTACATAGTATTTTTGTTCTCATAACAATCTCTTTAATTGCTCTCCACACATCAACATTCTGTCTATAAATTATACTTTGTAATACCATATCAAACGTATCAAACAAAGATGAACTCCGAGCAAAAAAATAATCATCATTTTTAAAACCTGTGGGTATACTCATAAGATTCCTATACGTCTCGTTTACGCACAAATTCACAAAACCCACGTTATACACATTTATACCATACGCTTTATATCGAAGCCGTCCTGTTAAAACATATCGTATATTATAAACATGATCGCAATAATAAAATGCTATGGCAGAAGATTCTTTTATCCACGCTCTATTTTTCGACAATATACGATTTATTAAAAGTTGTTTTATCTTTTTATCATATTGCTCACCGTCAGCCATAGTAGTACTTGTAGCTATTTCTTGAACAATTTCTGTAAATATTTCCACACACTCGCCAGTACAAGGTATCCAATATCGTAACCAAACTAATAAAAGTATGCTAATCAACAAGGTCAACAAGGTTTGCAAATCCAACATTCTTTGCATTTTTCGTCGAATTATTAAACGACATCTTGCCAATAATTCTTTCATTCTAAGAAAAACAGATCAATCATTTGTTACAACCCACACAACGTCGCACCATATTTGGTAATCGACTTTTTCATTCGTAACCATATTTGGTAATCGACTTTCTACACTGTCACATGCATTAATCTACTTTTTATGTCTAAAACAATCGCGCAAGAGTTTTCAGACAGTTTATTCACTATGGCTTCAGCACAGCAACAGCAAGATTTAAAGCTCTTCTTTGAATATCAAGGAGTCAACGAAAACAACCTAAATCGCCTACATTACGTTCAAAAGTTTACGGATTTCCAGTTTTTCCGACTAGCTAACCCCGTATACTCGTCGTTCGATAGAGCCTATATCAAGTGGCTACAACAACCTAATTATCAAGAAATGGAAAATAACGCAATTCTTACTCAATCTCAAACACCAACCTCCTTTTTCAACTCTCAACCACCACCGTATACGTCACCACCTATCTTGGACAATGTGAACGAATGCTATAACACAGACCTATTAAGTATCATGAATCCGATAAACCCGAATATTTTATACAACAACAACAACGATGCAGAATATTTAATGACTGACACAACCACCGAAGTACTAGAATCGAGTAGCGATAACCAATCTCCAGCAACATCCCCCGTCACCGTACAACCTCCCGCTACCCCCGTGAAAAAACCACTAATTCCTATGGGTAAAAATATAAACAATTTAAAAAAAAGTCTAAAACGAAAAGCATCTTCATCTGCATCTGCATCTTCATCTAAAAGTGGTCGTCCCAACAAACACGTCCACCTTACACGAATTGCAAACGACGAAGCAGACGAGGAGAAAATAAGCTCGCAAGATGTAATTCTCTATACATTAGACGGAGCAGTGAAAAAAAGAAAAACAATTCTTACTACTAGTAATGAAACTATTGAAACCTATAATATGAAACATTACCAATGCTATCTATACTTAGGAGAAAAACGCGAACGAGCATTAGAGAAAATCAAAACACAGAAAGAAAAACTAGAAAAATTATGTTATCTTGAAAAATTCGCAATAGAAGCATTAAAAAATCGCAAAAATAGAAAACTCGAAAAAAATGTTCTGTAAATAATTGTATAAAAATAATTAATAAATGATATAAAAATTGTATACGTGTAATATATCACTACCCGAAAAACACCCGTAATTTCAGGTTACTACAACCTGAAACAACCCGCAAACACCCGCAACACCCTAAAAACGGGCACGTGCACATAAAAGAGCGCGAACTTCAAATCCGAATCAGTTCGGTCGACCGCGGCTTTGGAGTAACATCTCGCCCCAGCCCCCGTTCTTGTAAGAACGACGCGCGCGCGCCCTCCCCCCCAAAAAAACAAACACACACACCCTCCAGAGCGCACAACAGGACAGCAACATTCCTGAAGTCATATGACCACCAAAACTCCCCCCGTCCGTACAGCCCACCACGCCCATGGCCAACGCCCACTTGAGCACTCTCGCGTAATACTAATTCCAGTTAAATTTTTCTGGTTCCCGCTCCCCCTTTGTTTTTTTATTGTATATAAATAACGACTACTAATACTGAATTCCCATTGGCTGGATTTTTTTGATCGATCATAGTGCACTTTATTAGCGACGTTTCTGGCCCTTTCTGATCGCTACTATGTGCTTGACCGCAAATTATTAAAGTTCAATGGGAAGATTTACTATCAGAAATTCTGAACTAATACTAGCCATGTCTGTTAGTATTTACGAAACCGCAAAGGCTGCTTTAGAGAATGTGATCGACAAAATGTCAAAGATATTGAATTTGAAGCTTATTTAAACAAGCGAGTAACGGTGTACCGAAGCTTTCTATAATTCTATTAAAGATTTATTGAGCGTTGTGAATAACATAAGCAGCCTTCCTCGCACGAAATTTTGGTGCGGAATCTTACATCCTGAAGTACGTTCGAGAGAAGACAAAAATCTTTTGTACGGCCTATATATATATATATATATATTCTATTTTAACTAGACATAGCATTATTTTTATAAACCAGAGAACGTCCAAACTATTAATAAGCATTATAACTGTTGTATACTGTGGTGGATTGTGCGTCTGTACGCACATGCTATAATATCGACGGGTATGCGTATAAGACGTATAAAAATACGAGACGAAATTGATATAATATTTCCGTCAATTTACATAAATACTGCGGCTAAATACAGACAGTTTCAGTGTGTTTATACTTTATTTATGCTTCTTGTGACATGTGGACTTTATATGTTAATCAGATAGCTACTTAATAACACTGTATTATTTATACATTGTCGAATTCTTGTCGCTTAAAATAGGTAGCATGGCCTTGTGTAATACGATCTCTACAACATGTAACAACAAGTAAAATGGATCATGTTGCCATTGTGAATATTTATTCATGGCGCATGTTTCTGCTACGAATGAAACTCGAGGAGCATTGAATTAAACGCGGAAATTCTCTTCCTGCTTAACAGTCAATCAAATGTTCTAAACTGCATCACAAAATTGCAAAATATTTTGACCATCCATGTCAAAGGAAAAATATGCGATTAAATATAAACAATTTTTAAAACGTCAAGTCATCCTTTTCAATCTATTTCTCGATGAGAATTGGATACCTGTTTGACATTTGGCAAAAGAACAATTTTTTAAGTTACATTTTTTTGTAAACAGAACACATATAAAAAATATTAATTTGCTTGGCAACCCCCCCCCCCGGCCCCCGTCAAAAGTACCCCCCTCCCTCAGTCAAAAGTACTCCCTCCCCAATGTTTGACTAACGTACCAAAAATGCTAGATCCGCCCCTGGTATAATCTTTGCCGATTTCCATTCGGATGGAATCAGACCAGACTGCATTGACAAATTTATTATATGGGTAAGCGGTGGAGCAATGGTAGAAGCTGATTCTTTCAATAATCTTGGTGGTAAATTGTCACAACCCGTAGATTTAGTAGATTTAAGCGATCTCAGCTGTCTTTCCACTCCCAAAATGGAAACATTTCGAAACTTGAAAACTTTCTCCGTCTTTTTACCAATATTTTTAGGGTTTCTCCAAACTAGATTACGCAGTGGAAAAGCTTTCTGCTTCAAAGTGGCAACAATGTTATTAAAATACGAGCAAAAAGCGTTTGAAATTTTTGATGCATCAGCTGACATCTCGCCGTCAATTTCAAATGATAGACTCGTATTTTTGCTTGTTGATTTAACTGGGTAAATTGATTTAATTATTTTCCAAAATGACTCAGGAGTCTTCGAATTTTCTTCCAACAGATTTTTGTTATACGAGGACTTCGCTTGACGCAACAAAGTATTCACCTTATTACGCTTTAGTTTATACGCATGAAAGTCCTCGTCATTGCTGGTCCTACGATATTTACGAAGTAAACTATCCCGCTCGTTCATAAGCTGTTTGACTTCGACCGTCAACCATGGTGCTGGTTTACCTTCAACTCGCTTTGAAATAACTGGAGCATATTTTAGGTATATGCCAGTTATTATTGTCTTCATGTAAGTCCAAGCTGAGTTCACATTGCTATTATTATACACGTAGGACCAATCAACGAGTCTTAGCTCGTTGTTCATTGCGTTTTGGTTGTAGCTTTTATAGTCTCGACAAATTATAGTTCTTGGCTTAAACTTAGTCGAGTTTATCTTGCGAACACAGCCGATCATATCGTGATCGCCAATGGAAAGCGGAATAACATCCGTGGCTTTAACTGATACCGGGTTGTTAGTGGCGATAATGTCTATCAAAGTTTTGGTCGAGCCGTTTATTCGTGCAGGCTTTTTTATCATCTGTTTGAAACCATACAAATTCAGAATTGCCTTGAATTCGGGGTTGTCTCCAGGGATTAGATAGTTTACATTAAAATCACCCAAAACAATCGATTCACTTGGCATGCAGAGCTTACTGATGACAATACCTCATTAAAAGTATTGTTAAAATCCCGATGTAGATATTTTGAACTGTCTGGAGGCCGATAAAATATTCCTATTAGAATATTCTTTGCATGCTTAAGGGTAATCTCAATCCAAATAGATTCAACAAGTTCGTTTTCCAGGTCTTGTCTGCGCTCCCACACAATATTGTTCGACATATAAGCCGCTACACCACCGCCCTTGCCCGTTTTTCTATAGTTACTAATAAATGTGTAGCCAGGGATCTCAAAAAGTGACTCAGGGTCTTGTTCCGTTATATGGGTTTCGCTTAACGTTAAAATATCAATACCTTTAAAGTTCTGAAACAACTCTGTTAGATAAAGTCTGTTCGAGAAAAGACCCCTCACATTTTGAGAAAGATAGAAATTTTGCATTTTTTATTTACTTTACTACAAGCATCGAAAATACAATGTATACGGCAATTGATAAAACTAGAATAGTGAAGCGAATAGTGCGAATAGTCGACGAATAGTACGAATAGTCCGCGAATAGTCGACGAATAGTGCGAATAGTCCGCGAATAGTCGACGAATAGTGCGAATAGTCCGCGAATAGTCGACGAATAGTACGAATAGTCCGCGAATAGGCGACGAATAGTACGAATAGTGCAATAGAGACTTTGCAAGGCTTTGCAGCAGTGCTGTAGAACTAAATTTACCGGGGGGGGGGCTCTGTTGACAAACATGAAATCGTGAAAACATTCGTCGACGTACGTCAATGACGTCATACGTCTAGTGATTGTCATCAGTGGCGCCGTGGCCGGGGGGGCCAGGTGGGGGGCATGGCCCTCCCCTATTGTTGACACCCGTCGTAAAATTGCCAATGCTGCCGGAAATTGTCGGAAAATTGTCAAGGCTGTCGGAAATTGTCAAAGTTGTCGACGGGGGGTGAAGATTTAAAATGTTGTCGTCCGGAAAACTTTTTGAAAAATTTTTCGGTTTGTCGGAAAAGTACTGCCCTTGCCCCCCCCCCAAAAAAAAACATGGGTCCCACGGCGCCACTGATTGTCATTCTACTTCCTGTTAAATATTTGTTAAAACTCAGTGGGTCCCGTAATTTTTACCGATTACGTATGACGTCGTTGACATCAACGAATGTTTTCACGATTTCATGTTTGTCAATACCCCCCCCCCGCCCCGCTTCGGTAAATTTAGTTCTACAGCACTATTCGTCGACTATTCGCACTATTCGTCGACTATTCGTACTATTCGTCGACTATTCGCACTATTCGTCGACTATTCGCGGACTATTCGCACTATTCGTCGACTATTCGCACTATTCGCTTCACTATTCTAGTTTTATCAATTGCCTATCTAAGATTCATCATGTTAAAACATGTTAAGTCATTGTTTCAACTTATTTGTATTAGATTCCGCACATAAAAAACGACGTTTGAACTGATATCCGTTTAAAGCGTTTTGGGGTCGGCCCCTACCGGAAATCTAAGCCCTATCCAAAGCCTAGCATCATATCAGACAACTGTTTGTTACAGGAATCCGCAGGAATTGAACCTCGTTGACCCCGTCACAGAGTCAGGACGAGTCTGAGGTGAAAGTCACATGCAGTGGGTAATGGAGGTCCCTAATGAACAAAATTTTGATATAGACAAGTCTAGACAAAAATTTCATCACAGCTTGAAAGAGCATCACAAAATTAGTATTAAAATATTCCGATGTTTTGTTGTAAAATGCGGATAATATAGCCCTGCGAAGTTTGCCGTTTTTCAGTCATTTTCTATTACGCACGGGAAATTGATACCTTTTTTCAGAAAGCGGGGCTATACTGTATTATCCGAATTTTACAACATTTCGCAACGAAACTTCGGAATATTACTAATTTTGTGATGCTCTTTCAAGCTGTGATGAAATTTTTGTCCAGACTTGTCTAGATTAAAATTTTGTTCATTAGGGAATAGGTTCATTGTGCAAAAGTTTTATAAATTTCAAGTGTGAGTTTTGTACTATTTAAAGCATGCCTAGGAGTGTTCACATATAAAACACGACGCGTAGCGGAGTGTTTTATATGTGATAAAACACGACTACAAGTGCTTTAAATAGCTTAAAAAACGACTCATCTTATACGAACCCCTCCCT